TACTTCTAGGGACCTATAAGTTTTCAGTTCTTCCAAGGTGGTATGATGAGGTGTTTACTCCTTTCCTGGCCTGTGCTCTGGTCTATGAGTGACCACAAGCACTCTTTTCTGCCTTGGAACTGTGAGAAGGATTCCCCTCTCCACCACCACTACAAGCTCCACCATGCCAGCGCTCCTCCTCACCCAGAACCGCCACCTAGAACTGTGACCCAGATCCAAGCACAGGCAAAGCAAGAGAATCCTGACTCAGAACCAGCAAAGAGATCCCTGCAATCCCCCTCTGATTAGCCACATGATTCCCCCTCAATCTGTGGGTTCAGAAGCTCCTGAAGCAGCCGCCACTCCAGGGCACACCAGGACTGAGGCTGGGACCTGCAGTCACAGACTTTTCCTAACTGACCTTCTAAGTTGTCTTTGGCATTTGTGGGTGAAAAGTCTGGAAACCACCACAGCTACCCCTAATTCAGCCGCTTCAGGTTCACTGAGGCCTGTTTTGCCTGTGCACCCATGCTGAACTGCATTCCTCTCCCTGCCCAACTCGATATACCTTTCTGATCAACCATCCTGATTGTCTTGGGCTGTAAATTTGTTTCACTCTGTCTTTTTGTGTGCTTTAGAATTTGTTTAGAGCCATTTTTTACTGGTATTTGGAGGTGTTCAGGGGAGAGCTCAAGCAAGTCACTGCTTTTACTCTGCCATCTTGGTTCCGCCTCCCAATTCTGTTTTTTAAGGAGTTATTTTCTTTTTTTTCCCTTTTTTTTCCTTAAGGTAATTGGGGTTAAGTGACTTGCCCAGGGTCACACAGCTAGTAAGTGTCAAGTATTTGGTCTGAGGCCGGATTTGAACTCAGGTCCTCCTGACTTCAGGGCTGGTTCTCTATCCACTATGCCACCTAGCTGCCCCTAAGGAGTTATTTTCTACAGTATTTTTTGGTGACTCTTTTACCAAGCTGTTAATTCTCTTTTCTTAATTTTCTTACATTCCTATCATTTCTTTTCCCAGTTTTTCCTCTACCACTCTATCTCTTTAACTCTTCAAGGAATTCT